CCCTAATGGTCCCAATGAAGCCTAATGGGCTTAGTGAAAACCCTAATGGGCTTAATGATATTCTAGTGGGCCTAATAGGCCCAATAAAGCCCTAATTGACCTAAGAGCCCAACAAATTGGTAAATGGGCTAGTATTTGGGTTGGAAAAACCATAATGCCAATAAAACCCTAATTTGGGGGAATTAATCGGGACACACGGGAATTATTTAATAACTTGAAATATTAAATAATAATCATTGGCAAAGATTAATCTAAGCAATATTGGACTTAATGGATTAAGTCCTTAGTGGATTAAGTCCTTAACGAGTTAAGTAGGAAACTTAACCCTAATCATCATTTTATGAGAAACCCTAATTTCACTTGGGTTTATTGTTGGGCCTTTCTATTAGGCCTTGATGATTGGATTATTAATGGGCCATCCAAGGTCAAGCGATTGGACTAGAATAATTTAATGGGCCTAGGGTAAGGCCCATGTAAGGGATTTGGGCCCAATTTGGAAAATTGGGCCATAGATGGCCATAGTTGGGCCTTAATGATTACATGATGTTGGGCCTTAGAATAAGACCATGTATAGGCTTGGGCCTAATTTGGAAAATTGGGCCATATGATGGGCTTTGACTCATAGTTGACTTTTGGGCCTATGGATTGGGCCTTAGGCTTGAATAAAGCCAAGCATGGGGTAATGTAGTAATGACCCCTAGTACGTACTTATGGTTATGTAGTGGAACCCAATTATTAATTGGGTGTTATTTTTGTGTTGACAGTTCGGGAATCTGTCATCCAGCAGCTGGGGTTGAGTCTGCGGGACTTCAGCAACGTGGGATTGTGTCTACGGGACTTCAGCAGTGTGAGGTGAGTTACCTTCCAGTAGCGGTGGGTCTACGGCCACAATGTCAGCCCACTAGTAGGAGTTGTATGATAGATGATTGTCTTTGTTATAATTATCTAGGTTTGCTACTACCTGATATGTCTTATGTGTTAGCATGATATGATGTTATGTGATAGTGGTAGTAGGGGGGATAGTCCCCGGTTACCGGTCGATAGGGCCGAAGGGGTAGTTTAGTACCCAACTATGCTAGACAGATTATGATACATGTGATATGTTATTATGTGGTAGTGGTAGGGGTGAAATAGTCCCCAATTACCGGTTGAAAGATGCTGAAGGGGAGGTTAGCTCCCGGTTACCGGTTGAAAGATACCAAAGGGGTAGGTCGGGCACCCAGATATGCCTGACAATATATTCATGTATGTTATGCTATGTTATTATGTGGTAGTGGTAGGGGTGAAATAGTCCCCGATTACCGGTTGAAAGATACCGAAGGGGAGGTTAGCTCCCGGTTACCGGTCGAGAGGACCGAAGGGGTAGGCCAGCACCCAGATATGCTAGGCAAGGTCGCCGGTCGAGAGGACCGAAGGGGTAGGTCGGGCACCCAGATATGTCTGGCAGTATGTATGTTATATGATTGTATGGTATGTGGTATGATGGGGGAACTCCCTAAGCTTTGTGCTTACGGTTTACAGTTTTGGTTTCAGGTTCTCGTTTTCAAAGGAAATGAGTCGGCTTGATCGCAACGCATCACACTATGTTTTCCGCACATGAGATCTTTGGGATTACACTCTTATATTATTTTATGATAATATGTTTTGATTACTGACACTTTGGTTTGACACGAGATATTATTATGAATGTTTTTATACTGATGGTTTTATGTAATAACTTATTTAAAAATGAAATTTTTGGCCTTGAATTTTGGGATGTTACAAGTTGGTATCAGAGCCTTGGTTTGAGGGATTTGGCCACACTCCCGGGTGTATCTGAACTCAAACTAAGGACTTGGTATGACAATTTTCAAAAGTAAAACCCTTTTATAAAAAGAAGTTTGAAAAGAAATTGAAAAGAGAAAAGAACTTTGAAAAGAACAAGGTGTGTGATGCGTGCAATCAGCCGAGCTCAGGTAAGTTTTTCCCAAGATACCCATACATGTTATGATATGTTATGTTATGATATGATTATGAGAACTGCATGATAGATTAGGGCTGAGGATCTAGGAGGATGCCTTATATGCCTATTGTATGTGCTTGTAGACTTGCATGCTAGTCCTGATCAGTCAGTGATAGGATAGCCTGTTTAGGTTATACCTGATTGTATGAGCCTTTGAATTGCATGTAAAGATTCTTGATTAGAGGATAGAGTGATTTGATTGGAATATGATGGTTAGATTTTTCATTGTCTGAATGCTGCTTGCTTTGTGCTTTGTGGGACTCTTAGTAATGTGAGCTAACTATTAAGTGAAGATGCTAAGTCACGTGGGACACAGGCTGGATAATCTCAGAGTGAGAGACTTGACCCTATTGCGCAGCTCTTGTCTGAGTCCAACCGTTTCAGGGATGGGTCTTTTACTCGAAGGATTACCTGATCTCTGTTGCATGTGGCTATATTCATGAGGTAGCTAGTTGACATTACTAGGAATATTTCAGCGGCTGAGGACTGGGTGAGTTCGGGAACCTAGAAAAGCCTAGGATATGTTTCAGTGGGTTAAAAGCGAGGCTTAGTGAGACTTGGGTGTATTAGACTGAGGAAGTGACTTGGAGGATCCGAGAGGATTGCTGAGGAAAGTATGGATAGGTGTGGAAGGTAGTATTGGGCCCGTACTACTGAAAGCACAGGATCCATAATCGAATCGGTGAGAGTCTTAGAGAATCTAAGAAGCTTCAGGGAGAAGTTTGTAACCTGGTTTGGGGACAGAGGATGTTCTAGTTGTTGCAGCTTAGCCATTGGCAAGTGAGCTAACGAGCGTGACAGGGTGTCAGACCCGGAAGGATATGATTTCCAAGAAGTTGCAGATGCGAGATCGATTTGGAGCACCCTGGAAGGAGAGGCTCGTGCCAGGTGCGTATAGTAAAGGGTCCCAGGAAGAGACCCATGACTTCTGATCATCGGGTGAAAGGCCAGCAGGGACGGAGTCAGTGCAGCACGTGTAGGAAAGTGCACAAGGGAGTTTGTAGCTCCAAGGATTTAGGCTGCTACAGGGTAGCGGGGTTGTTCATGTCAGCAGAAGGTGATCAGTATTCCTCCAGATGTTACGGGTATGTCATCTTCTATTGCTACTAGATGGATGTTGGGATACATATCACTTTGGGACCGTGAGTGAGTTTGGACAAGTCAGATCTCGGAGCGGTTTTCTGCTAGTGTTTGGGTTATCAAGGATCATATATGCCATCCTGCATGCCGAAAGGTCCTTGATGAACCCACAGAGGGATGCATCTTGCGGAGTGGGTTCTGCATGCACCGTTATCATTCCGGATCTTTGTCGGGATCTACGCAGGAGTATTATTTAGAGGATACTCGCCCAGGGTTAGAGTGATAGTTCTTCATTGAAGTCAGCGCTCAGGGGTTCTATCATTGTTCAGATATGGTCGGTAGTTGTCTATGGAAGAACCTTGGAAGCTCAAGGCACCATCGTTGCTAGGGACAGGACTGGTAGCATGAAGATAGTGGAGTCAGCTGCGGGTGTTAGGCGCATGGGTGTTCGGTCGTTGGATGTTCAAGAGAATTGCATTTCTCACGTGGGCTATGTTCGGTTAGAGTTCAGTGGTGCTGCAAGATTGGAAGTGGAAACGAGGATTCGTCAGCTAGAGTGAAGATTAAGGTCTTCAGTGAACAGCATGGGAGATGGTCTTGTACCAGATTCAAGAGTACTCTTCAAGATTTCAGAGGATGGACGATCTTAAGGTTTAACTGGTAAGTGATCGCTAGCATGGGTAAGAACAGGTTGTCAGCAATGGACTATTGTAAAGTAAGAAGGATTGGTAATCCTTCAAGTCGCACGTGCCGTGAAGACTTAGTCGAATCTAAGTGGAGGAGAGACTTTTTATATAGTTCTCCAAATGAGAGTTCTGGTTGCGCGAGGTGCAACCTATTGGGCACCTTGTCAACCAGAAGGGTATTCTGGTCGATCCGACCAAGATAGAGGTCGTGATGCAGTGGGAGATTCCGAGGTCTCCAACTGAGATTCGGAGTTTCCTGGGTCTAGCGGGTTATTACCAGAGATTTGTACGGGAATTCTCCGAGATTGCGGTTCCTTTGACCCGACTGACCAAGAATTCGGTGGCCCTTCACTGGGGGCCTGAGCAGCAGGCAGCCTTCGAGGCTCTCAGACAACGGTTGTGCGAGGCACCGATTCTCACCCTGCCAGAGGGTGTAGATGGTTTTGTGGTTTAGTGTGACGCTTTGATCATGGGCATGGGTGCGGTACTGATACAGTGGGGTCACGTGATAGCAGGTTTCGGGAACCAGGGTAGAGCTCTAGTTAGGACTCAAGTTCAGTTGAGGGTTAGGTCGAGTACGTGTTCGACCCGGTTTGGAAAGTGTTGTAAGACTACGGGGGTAGCCGTAGCATTCACTAGCAGTCAGTTTGTATGGAAAGTGTTGTAAGACTACGGGAATAGCCGTAGCATTCACTAGCAGTCAGTTAGTATGGGAAGTGTTGTAAGACTACGGGGGTAGCCGTAGCATTCACTAGCGATCAGGTAGTATGGAAAGTGTTGTAAGTGTGCGGGTGTAGCCGTAGCATTCGCTAGCAGCCAAATAGTGCTAGAGTGTTGTAAGTCTGCGGGTGTAGCCGTATCATTCACTAGCAGCCTGATAGTGTGAGGAGTGTTGTAAGTCTGCGAGTGTAGCCGTAGCATTCACTAGGTTGTTAGATAGCATGAGCGCGTTGTTAGGACGCGAAAGGAACGGGAGTACACACCAGTTCGGGTGTAGTAGTGAGGATATGGAAATCCACGGATTGGTTTATGGATTTCCCTAGAGGGATTAGACATGGTTAAGCCAGTAATAAGACTGTAGGAACGCCACTACAGTTATGAGATCAGGAAAGCAATGGAGCGTATGAGGCCCTTTGTGATATAAGTCTACCATCGGTCAGGTAGCAATCACTTTTAGCCTCATTTGTGAAGTCGGAGAAACAAGACCGTCGGTGGAGCCACAAGATCGGTCGATGACGAGGCCGGGAGCCGCCAACCGCCATTGTTACGTTGCTGTTGCCGCCGTCGGAGGAGCTGGAACGTGGTTTCCGTCGTCGAGGAACCCCCCCTCTGCTCGGTTCGTTGCTGCTAAGCCGCCATCTCTATCCTCTTCTTTCCGATCAGTCCTCCTGGCATGAAACCATCACTGCTGCTGCCATGCGCCACCACCGGCCACCACAGTGTGGCTGTGTGTGTGTGTGTGTCTATTTTAGTGTGTGTGTGCGTGTGATTAGTTTGTTTAGTGTGTTTATTTTGGGATTAGAGTTTGTAAAATGTAATCATAAATTTGAATAATGAAAAAGGAACCCTAACCACCACCGTGAGGTGGTGGCTGCCGCCTCCTGCCGCCACCAGCCGCCGTGTCGGGTGGCGGTATGCTTGCCTTGTGAGTTTGATTCGTTTGGGGTGCTTGAAACCCTAACGGGCCTTGTAAGCCCTAATGGTCCCAATGAAGCCTAATGGGCTTAGTGAAAACCCTAATAGGCTTAATGATATTCTAGTGGGCCTAATAGGCCCAATAAAGCCCTAATTTACCTAAGAGCCCAACAAATTGGTAAATGGGCTAGTATTTGGGTTGGAAAAACCATAATGCTAATAAAACCCTAATTTGGGGGAATTAATCCGAACACACGGGAATTATTTAATAACTTGAAATATTAAATAATAATCATTGGCAAAGATTAATCTAAGCAATATTGGACTTAATGGATTAAGTCCTTAGTGGATTAAGTCCTTAACGGGTTAAGTAGGAAACTTAACCCTAATAATCATTTTCTGAGAACCCCTAATTTCACTTGGCTTTATTGTTAGGCCTTTCTATTGGGCCTTGATGATTGGATTATTAATGGGCCATCCAAGGTCAAGCGATTGGACTAGAATAATTTAATGGGCCTAGGGTAAGGCCCATGTAAGGGGTTTGGGCCCAATTTGGAAAATTGGGCCATAGATGGGCCATAGTTAGGCCTTAATGATTACATGATGTTGGGCCTTAGAATAAGACCATGTATAGGCTTGGGCCCAATTTGGAAAATTGGGCCATATGATGGGCTTTGACTCATAGTAGACTTTTGGGCCTACGGATTGGGACTTGGGCTTGAATAAAGCCAAGCATGGGGTAATGTAGTAATGACCCTAAGTACGTACTTATGGTTATATAGTGGAACCCAATTATTAATTGGGTGTTATTCTGGTGTTGACAGTTCGGGAATCTGTCATCCAGCAGCTGGGGTTGAGTCTGCGGGACTTCAGCAGCGTGGGATTGTGTCTACGGGACTTCAGCAGTGTGAGGTGACTTACCTTCCAGTAGCGGTGGGTCTACGACCACAATGTCGGCCCACTAGTAGGAGTTGTATGATAGATGATTGTCTTTGTGATAATCATCTAGGTTTGCTACTACCTGATATGTCTTATGTGTTAGCATGATATGATGTTATGTGATGGTGGTAGTAGGGGGGATAGTCCCCGGTTACCGGTCGATAGGGCCGAAGGGGTAGTTTAGTACCCAGCTATGCTAGACAGATTATGAGACATGTGATATGTTATTATGTGGTAGTGGTAGGGGTGAAATAGTCCCCGATTACCGGTTGAAAGGTACTAAAGAGGAGGTTAGCTCCCGGTTACCGGTTGAAAGATACCGAAGGGGTAGGTCGGGCACCCAGATATGCCTGACAATATATTCATGTATGTTATGCTATGTTATTATGTGGTAGGGGTAGGGGTGAAATAGTCCCCGATTATCGATTGAAAGATACCGAAGGGGAGGTTAGCTCCCGGTTACCGGTCGAGAGGACCGAAGGGGTAGGCCAACACCCAGATATGCTAGGCAAGGTCGTCAGTCGAGAGGACCGAAGGGGTATGTCGGGCACCCAGATATGCCTGGCAGTATGTATGTTATATGATTGTATGGTATGTGGTATGATGGGGGAACTCACTAAGCTTTGTGCTTACGGTTTACAGTTTTGGTTTCAGGTACTCGTTTTCAAAGGAAAGGAGCCGGCTTGATCCCATCACATCACACTATGTTTTCCGCACATGAGATCTTTGAGATTACACTCTGATATTATTTTATGATAATATGTTTTGATTACTGACACTTTGGTTTGACACGAGATATTATTGTGAATGTTTTTATACTGATGGTTTTATATAATAACTTATTTAAAAATGAAATTTTTGGCCTTGAATTTTGGGATGTTACACATCAATTATTGGGCATTATACGGTAAGGAATTTTGATGCAGATAGAATGGTACTCAGGCTTCCTCGTGGTGATATACCAATAAATCGGGAGGTAATTCACGAATTGTTGGGTCTTCCTTTAGGGAATGTTGTTATAAAGTCGATGGCATATAGACAGGTTACAGATGACACTATCACTGTTTGGAACAAAACAATTCGATGATGAAGATAATATTAGACCATGGGCAGTTCAACAGGCTATTATGCAAACAACACATGCAGACTTACTTTTTAAAGTAAACATTTTTGGTCTGCAGTGTAATACACTATGTCAGTCAATGAGCATGGGAACATGTGACCTTTCCATGTTATCAAAGGTTACAAAAGACTTGGATCTAAGTCACATCGATTGGTGTGGATATGTTTTTGATTACCTTAAGGACACAAGAAGTGCATGGAATCCATACAGCAAAAAAGGATTATATGTTGGGCCAATTATCTTTCTTTTGGTAATATTTAGTATCCAATGCAGATGTTTTTAAAAATATATTCATTTTTCATATGCATTATCTTAAATGATTCACAATAAATGAATACGTGTACAAATTCATTAAATTGTGTTTACTTAATTAAAATTTTGTTTGTGTTTATTGTAGCTGCTATACGTAGAAAGTGTACGATGTGATTCAGTAAAGATTGTACGAGGCAGACCAGCAATATGTTTTTGGAATGTTGATAAACTGCGTGAGCGAGAAAGAGTTGAGTGTAGGACAATAGGTTTGGGTATGGGTGAAATGCAAGAACCATTTCAAGTCATCAATGAATCAGCTGCTACTGGTAATATAGTTCATGATACAGTTCAGGTACTATGTTATTATATTCAATAATGCATATTAGATTTATACTTTAATATTTTGTTTAAGGGACATTGATTCTATTCATACATATTGATAGACCAATGAAGCAGGAGAAGGTGTGAAATTAAGTGATGGAAGCTTTACGGTATTAGTATGATATAATCGTTAATAAATAATCTATGTTTGTTGAAACAAATAAAGTCATGTATTGAATTATTAAATTCAAAAGTGATTAATGTTGGTTAACTGATATAATATGAAATGATTTATATAATTCTTAATATACTATTATGTTCAATTCACAAAATCTTAATTGATTAATTTTCGTAGGGAAATGAAGGAAAAGAAGATTTTAATGGATGTGGTGACACGGTTGAGGTAGTGTACCATTATATTCACCTGTGAATGATGAAGTAATCTAGTATTAATTAATTTTTATGGCATATTTTTGTTTTTATTTCGTTTGTACATAATTACATCATGTCGAGTTTAATAGGCCCATCTTTCAACAATAAAGGAGATGCATGATATGCTCATGCATCAAAAGCAAGTGTTGGAAGATAAAATAAATGAAACTACATAGAAATACCCTCAGAATCCATTGGTCCAAGAATGGATAAATAAATTAAATGAACTATTTAAAGAAGTTGCAACATCAGAGGAACCAGTTCAATCTCAATGGTGGTATGATAACAAGGCAGAAATCGAACGTTCACTAATTCTTGCAACATCTCGTAAATAGTTTGACAATTCACCGATACCAAACTATAGTATTCAAATGTCAAAGGATTATGCAGACTTCGTGAATGGATCTACAAGAAAGTATTTTCATAGTACACCGTCATCTAAAATGGAAATGCCAATTCCTTTGTCTGTTGTTCCATTCATAAATGAACATAAGGGGCTTAATAGAAGAGGGGACAGGCCTCGCATGAAGTCCGATTATCTCCAATCTCCTTACATTATGTGGGCTGTTGATATCACGAAACGAATTCCACGACCAGAAAAACATGTAGCAGACTGGATATTCTCTCTAGGGGAGCCAATGTAATTTACATTTAACATATGTTTAATGTTAGTTACTTTATTTGGTTAAATATTAAAAAAAAGTAACAATCGGTCCCGTCTTTTGTAGTGATATAGTTTTCAACAATCTGGATGGTTTTTCTACACAAAGGTTTCACATGAAAAGTTTTTTTCCTACCTGTGAATTATTTGTTAATGTTATTGATTGTTGGAGTCAAGTGTTGAATCTTGATGAAAGTAAGCGTGCACCAAAATATCCTCAGAGAGTTTATTGCAAGACGGAGTTGACAGTATAATTCATTTATATGCATTTATGATCAAAATATATTTTAAAAGCAATTTGTTAACAAAACTAATGACTTTTTAAAACTACGTTATAGAATTTGTACCTAGAAGGTAAGTTAACAGAAAGTGAATGCAAAGTTAAATTCCTTGAGAATCTTTTGCTTTCTATTGAAGATATGGAATCAACACTACGTTATGTTGGTTTGGTAAGATACGTATATGAACATGTTATTACTTTTTTGTGTTATTTTATTAGTAATAATATATAAATATAAAATACATTGAGTAACTTTAAATTACTCCATTTTCTAACTTTTCCTACCGCTTGTCCGTTCCTTCCACATTTTCCTTTGTGTAATCAATCTACAACACCCAAAGTTTGTAATGATTGACAACAACAAAGTTGATGATCCTATTGATGTCAGATATGATCAAGTGCCCCAGATCATCGTCAGTGATCAATAAAAGTTACATTAATTATTAAATAACGTTTCATATATCTTAACAATTTTTTTTACATTTTCAGAATACGTACATACTTGATTACATAAGATCTCAGAATCATCCAAAAACTGAGATGTTTCAATATGTTATGCCACATAGACTGGAAATGCCTTAGAGAACAATAAACAACCACGCTGATTATGGTGTGTTCACAATGCGTCACATGGAAATGTACATGGGTGGAAGTATGAATGAGTTTAAAGTTGGGTTCAAAGACGAGTCTCATTGTAACACTCAGTTTTGGATTTGCTTCATTATTTGGGGTTGCAATCCAATCATCAGTTTTCATGAGGCTTAGGGCCTTGGGGAAGAAAAGATTTGGCCCTTTTCGGATGTGGGTATTATGGTTTAAGTGATCTAAGTGTTTGATGGTGTTTTTGGAGCCCAATGGTATAATCGTAATTTGATAACTCGGTGCATTATGAATTTTGGATTTTTGTTCGGGGAGTTTTAAGGCTATGATGAGTTGTTAGAAGCGTAGGGCTTCTCGCCACCTTTCCGTGGATATAAGGTTCGTTGGAAACGGACCTAAGACGAAGAAGTTAGATCCAAGTGAAGTTTAGGGTTTTAGGGGTTCAATGAGTATGTGGTGCGTACTCATTGTGAACACGGGGCGTGGAGGGTTAAGTGGTCGCGAGTAGTTTGTGAGTATATCGAGCATACTAAGGGGTACGCAGGGCGTACTCCCTTCAGAGCAAAACCCTAATTTTGGGGTTCCTACCCTATATAATCATCATTATAGCCTTCCTTTGGGTCCTTTAAGTCAGCCTCCATCCCCTCTCTTCTACCTTGAAACCCTAGAGTGCCTAAGTGAGTCTTGGATCTTGGAAGAGTGTTTATGGTCTCTTGTGCAAGAGAAGGAGAAGATTGAAAACTCACTATTTTGAAAGGATCTTAGAGATCCAAAAGTTATATCATCATTTCATGATCTTGAAGGTATAAAGTCTCTATCTTGCTCACTCCTTGGTTAGATATTCTTTTGGGTTTGTTCTTAGTCATTTTTAGCCTCTTTTGGTGGTTCTTGTGAGCTATAGTTGTTTCAGAGGTTTGATCTTGTGGATCTATTCGTTTTAGGTGTCCCAAAGGCATACAAATGTGATCTTTATGGTTTATTTGGACTCATGCATGTGTTAAGACCTTTCATTAAGCCCTTTTGAGCTCTAGAGTCCCATTAAGCCATGTATGCTAGTAAAGTTGCCAACTTTACGTAATAAGTCATCTATGGGAATCATATCTGAGAGTTTGGAGCAAGGAGTTAAGTGATTAATTGCTTTTTGGAGACGATTGGGATACAGAGGAGTACGTTGCGCGTACCCATCTGGTACGTTTTGTGTACCGGCCCAAGGGGTGTACGTTGGGCGTACCAGTTGAGTACGCAGGGCGTACTTGACCAGGTTGGATTTTCTTGGATTGTTGACTTTTTGGGCATTTGACGTTTGACCAGAAGTGGACTAGGGTGGACCATTGGATCTTTTGGTCCTTTTTGGATATTCGGCCTTCTCGGGATAGGTTCATGATGGATTTGGACCTAATTGGGATATTTGGGCCTTATTGGGCCTTGTGGTGTCATTACGGGTTTGGGCTATCATGTGGGCTTGTATTGCTTAGGGTTTTGTTGGACCAGCTGAGAATATGTCTTTTGGATTAGGAAAAGTTAATGGGCTTTAGGGTAAGACCCACGTAAGGGTTTGGGCCCAATTTGGAAAATTGGGCCATTATTGGGCTTTAGATGATTATTGGTTTAAGGATATTTATTATTATGAGTTTCGGCCTTAGTCTTGGACCAAAATTGGTGAGGGGTAAAATGGTCTTTTTACCCCATGTAAGGATTATTGGATTTGGTTTGGAACCCTATTGTTAATTGGGTGTTAAATTGTTTGATAGCACGGGCATTCTAGCGGGTCAGCAGTAAGAGATCTATTCGTGGGTTCATCTGTCGAGGAGAGTCTCCTCACTGTTCTATGGGTCGAAGGCACCAATGCCGGCCCATTTGGTTTATGTATTATAGGAAAAATCAGGGGTGATGTGACATCCCCAATTTCACGACCAGAAAAGACCGATTTTTTTATGCTCTATTTGAAAACCAGAGTATCCTTTTTAAAGAAATATGTTGCAGAATTTGTTCCAAAAAATATGATAAAGAATTTATCAAAGCATTTCCGAAGAATGTATTTTCATTATATTAAAAACCTCGGGATTTCATTGTCAATACAGATCATAAGCATAAACATAAACAACATAGGCCTTACAACATCTATTTATTCTAGTGGCCTATAGTCCATTGATCTCTCATCAGATCATCACTCTTGTGCTCTCTTGTCACTACCTGTATACAAGAAACTGACTGGGTTAGGCTTGGGATCCTGGTGAGCACATAGTGTTTTCAACCCACAATAATTAAGTTTATTAATTCATCAAATCAAACAACCCGATTACCCATTCCCGTTATCCTCACTTTCTGTCCCTATAACATCTAAAGTAAGGGACCTAGCCTATGGATTTTCATCGGGATGGTAGCACTACTTAGGGGGTTCCTCAGCAATACATGTCAAATAAGGCAACCATGAGGGGGATGGAGTACACCTGGTGAACACTTAGTTCAAAAACACCTACAAGTTGCAAGTCTGCTAGCGTTCCACTAGAGTGTCTAGAATAGTCCGTGGTCGTCATCTATACTCCGCTAGATGACTGGATCATCTTAAACATCAAGGCCTCTCATCATTTATTTCATCTTTCATCATCTATATCATCTACCCATCTTTACACATCATAATTATAGGTATAAAATACATATACAATTTAAAACAAATAAAACATGTATATTTTGTTCATCCAACATATATATCAAGAACACAGATAATGCACACATAGCACATAATTTATATTAAATACTTCATATATATATATATATATATATATATATATATATATATATATATGTGTGTGTGTGTGTGTGTGTGTAAGATGAAAGTAACTATGCAATCACCTGTTAAATTGATGATTCCTAACTCGGGAAGCACTTCGCTTCTAACTATTATATTTTCCTTCGGCGAAACCTAGTATCATTACCTCTTAATTTTAGTCTAATTTTTATTACGACTATTTACGAGCGATATTGTTTTATAAGTGTTAAACAATAATTTCCAAACACTATGTACAGACAGGGGACAGACATGAAACACCGGAGGGCAGAACCATTTTGGCATTATAGCACTTCTAAAATCCAACAACCCTATGTAGCCCTTCAAACCAGATTCCCCGCACCACGACTAGTTAAATTATAATAACACTTTGTATATTATATTTTATAATACATATATTGTTTATAAGTTCATAATAATGATAATAAACTTAAACATAAGCTATACTTAAAGTAGGGTAAGTATTACTTACTTATAAGGGGGTTTAGCAAAGAACCGGGCTCTGTGCGGGCGGAACTTCTAAGCCGAAAGCTCTTCTTCTCGGAGCCTTATGGCGCTTTGGGACTCTCCTCTAGCACTTGGGAGTTACTAGGGATTGGGAGGGGTTTAGAGAGAATCTTGAGAGAGAAAGAAGGGAAATTGTGTGAAGAAAATGGAAGATTTGTGCCTCTATTTTATAGGTTGGGAAATGGCTCAACACGAAGTGTTTTTGGCCAAAACACGGAGTGTCATAGTGTTTTTGGGCTGAACACATAGTGTTGAAGCCATGTGTCACCATCTAGTGGCAATGTGTGGGGAGGAAGCAACGGTCAGGATTGTGCCATGTGTCACTCGCACATTACTCCAAAAACTAATTATCTTCTAAAATGTGTAACTTTCGCATACGAGCTCCGTTTTTGACATTCTTTATATCCACGCGTAGGTACTGATGGGATCTACAACTTTCATTTAGACTCTGTCGGCTAATTTTGATTTTATTTTTAAAGTTATATTTTAACAGGCCTGGACAGGTAAAGTCCGTTAAAAATTCATAACTTTGTCATCCGACGTCCGTTTTCGTCTGTCTTTATATCGTTGAACTCTTATTAACCAGATCTTCAATTCTCGTTTAGATTGTGTCGGCTAAAAATCGGCCGATCTAAAATTCGAATTCCGGGCTGCATGCTGTTATGCCAAATCTTAGAAAAATTATAAATTCCTCATACGAAGTCAGATTTGGACGTTCTTTTTACGCACGCTCTCAGTGTAACGTATAATATGGTTTTCATATAGATTGCTAAGGCTAAAAAGTATTTTATCGCAAACTCACTTATTA